GATATAAGTGATCTCTATATTATTACTTATAACTGCATGGGAATGTGCAATTATCCCCAAATTAAATGTTGTTGTTGTTGTTGTTGTTTCTAATGGGTTTGCAAAGCCAGAGACTACAAGTAAAATATAAGCCAATATCCCTGATGAGCACTGATGCAAAAATCCTCAACAAAATACTAGCAAACCAAATTCAACAGTACATTAAAATGATCATACATCATGAACAAGTGGGTTTTATCACTGGGATGCAAAGCTGGTTCGACATATGCAAATCAATTAATGTGATACACCACATTAACAAAATAAAGGATAAAAACCACATGATCACTATAAATAGATTCAGAAAAAAATTTTGATGAAATTCAACATCTTTTCATGGTAAAAGACTCTCAACAGACTAGGTTTCAAGAGAATTTACTTCAAAATAACAAAGGACATTTATGAAAAGCTCACAGCTAACATCCTACTCAACAGCGAAAACCTGAAAGCTTTTCCTCTATGATCAGGAACAAGGCAAAAATGCCCACTTGTGTCACTTCTATTCATCATAATACCAGAAGTCCTAACCAGAGCAATTAGGCAAGAAAAAGAAATAAAAGGCATCCAAATCATAAAGGAAGGAGTAAAATTAACTGTTTACAGATGACATGATATTATATGTAGAAAACTCTAAAAACTCAACCAAAAAACTATTAGAACTAGTACATGAATTCAGTAAAGTCGCAAAATACAAAATCAACATTAAAAAAAATCAGCTGCATTTCTATACACTAATAATAAACTATTCGAAATTAAGAAAACAATCCTATCAACTATAGCATCGAAAAGAATAAAATACTTAGGAATAAACTTAGCCAAAGAGGTGAAAAACTCTGCACTTAAAACCAGAAATCACTGATGAAAGAAAATTAAAGAAGACAAAAATAAATGAAAATACATCTTATGTCCATAGATAGGAAAACAATATTGTTAAAATGTCCATACTACCAAAAGCCATTTATAAATTCAATGTAATTCCTATCAAAATCCCAATGGTGTTTTCATAGAAATAGAAAAAAATTATATATTTCATATTGAACCACAAAAGACTCTGAATATACAAAGAACAAAGCTAGAGACACCACACTTCTTTTTTCAAAATATATTCCAAAGCCACAGTAATTAAAACAGTATGAAACTGGTATAAAAAAAGACATATAAACCAATGGAAAAGAATAGTGAGCCCAGAAACCAACCCATGCATATATGGTCAAATAATCTTCAACAAGGGTGACAAGAATACACAGTGGGGAAAGGACAGTATCCTGCATAAATGGAACTGGGGAAACTGAATATCCATACTCGAAAGAAATTGGCCCCATATGTTATACCATACACAAAATCAACTCAAAATCTATTAGAAATTTAAATTTTAGACTTGGAACTGTAAAACTCTTCAAAAAAAGAGAAAACAATGGAAAAATGTGATATTAGGTTTGGCAATGGTTTCTTAGATAAAGCACGAGCAAGGAAAGCAAAATCAGACATGTGAGGCTACATCAAACTAAAAAGCCTCTGCACAGCAAAGGAAACAATCAGCAGAATGAAAAGGTGACCTAAAGAATCGGAGAAAATATTCCAAGCCACATAGCTGACATGTTATTAATATCTAAAATACATAAGGAGCTTCTACAACTCAAAGCAAAAATACCCTAATAACCTGATTTAAAAGTGGGCGAAGGATGTGAAGAGACATTTCTCCAAAGAAGACATACAAATGGCCAACATCACTAATCTTCAAGACCTAATCATGCAAATTACACACTAATCATGCAAATCAAAACCACAATGGGATATCATATCACACCTGTTAGGATGGTTTTTAAGAGGGGAAAGAAAGATAAGAAGTGTTGGCAAGGTCTGATTTAAAAGTGGGCAAAGGATGTGAAGAGACATGTCTCCAAAGAAGACATACAAATGGCCAACATCACTAATCTTCAAGACCTAATCATGCAAATTACACACTAATCATGCAAATCAAAACCACAATGGGATATCATATCACACCTGTTAGGATGGTTTTTAAGCGGGGAAAGAAAGATAACAAGTGTTGGCAAGGATGTAGAGAAACTGGACCCCTTGCACACTATTGATAGGTACGTAAAATGGTGTAGCTGCTATGGAAAATAGGATACAGATTCCTCAAAAAATTAAAAATTTAATTATGGTATGATCCAGCAACCTACTTCTGGGTATATATCCAAAAGAATTGAAATTAGGATCTGGAAGAGATATATGCATTCTCATGCTCACTGCAGCATTACTCACAATAACCAAGTTATGGAAACAACTGAAATGTCTATTTTTGGATGAATGGATACAGAAAAGTGGTATATACGTACAATGGAATATTATTCAGCCTTAAAAAACAAAAGAAAATCCTGCCATATGTGACAACATAGATGAACCTGGAGGACCCTATGCTAAGTGAAACATGCTATTTGTAGAAGCATATGAAATATATTATATGAAGTATCTAAAATAGTCAAGCTCATAGAAACAGATGGTAAAATAGTGCTTGCCAAGGGCGGGGGAGGAGTTGCTATTCAACAGGTATATAGTTCCAATTATTCGGGAGGAGTAAGTGCTAGAGAGCTGCTGCACAACATTGTGCCTATAGTTAACAAAACTGCATCCTGTACTTAAACATTTGTTAAGATGGTAGATGTCATAGTAAGTGTTCTTACTACAATATAAGTAAATAAATAAAAAGATACATAAATACATAAATAAAATGGTTTTGAATTTGCAAAAACTTTCGCTCAAACAGGCCTAACTTAATATATAGTTAAAATAGTTCACGTATATTTAAAAGGCCATTTCGTGTTTTCACCAACTATGTAAAATAAAAATCATAAAGACATATTCTATGTAAAGTACCTAAGCCAATGCTTGGTTCACACTGAATAGTTACTAAGTGTGATTTTCTGCCCTTCCTTGCAACAATCTTCAGAATTGTGTGAGTCTAGCATTGTTGATGTTGTCCCTTACATATGCCCAGCTTTGAGCTATTGCACTAATGGTGCTGTTTCAGGTGACTGTGTAAAGAAAGCTTCCAGGTCTTATTAAAATCAACTCCTGTGAGTACAGAATGACTGGTTTACTTTACAATTCTGGAGAGTCATCCATCCTTTTCCAATTAGTGCTCGTCATACTCTAGATTTGCAACTCAACCTTCTCAAAAAAAATTTTTTTTTAAGTATACCTTACATAGCCAGTAAGATACACTATACAAAGAGCAATGCATCTTTGACACCAAACTGCTTTTCATAATTAACGATTACCACAAGAGTTGCCTTCTGTCCCCAACTCTCCTCCTTTGCCCCTGTTCTGCCAAATCCCGGCTAACTCTCGTCTTCATTAATGGCCTTGTCTCAATGTCTACTCCCTTCTTTCACTCCTATCTCTCTGTCCCTGCCATCTCCTGCATCCATTAAAAAAAAAAAAAAATCTTAGAAAGCCAAGAAGTGAAAACACTCTTCTTCACTCTCCACCAAATGGGCAGAAGTCTTTGACCTTGACCTTTTAAAATAGAAAATGTTCAGACCAGAGACCTAGATAGTCTCCATGGCTGTTGTTAAGTCCAGCACACCTCATGCTGTGGGCCTTCCACACTTTCAAATAACCAATAACCCTCACGTAATAAATGAAAAAGCAGATCATTTATATTTATATTTGTGCCATCTAAGCATATTTTAAGAAATGTTTAGAAAACTAAAAGCTGAGCAACTCAACTGAAAACCAAAATATTATAAAATATTTTCTTCAGGGTCAAATGTGCAATTTCCTCGCCCTCCTTAAGATATTAAACTTTCAATGGAAGAAAGAATTGCTATGGTTTCCTTTTCTAAGTCATCAGAGCCACCTGTCAAGAGACCTTGGCCTCCCGGCCCGAGCAAGCTTTTTGAGCTGCCTACTCTGTCTCCAACTATCATTACCACAAAGACGAGTTCATATTACACCCGTTAGAAAAGGGTTTAAAACGTTGATGATACTGAACCAACATTATTTCAACAGTTTTGTCTGACATATTGTAAGCTTAAATGCTGAGCCAGATTATAAGGGATTGACTCGAGCTCATGATGTATGAAATAGCACTTCCTCAAATCAGTCCTTCGCCCCTTCCATCTAAAGCTAGCCCTTTTAAAATAAAGAAAATTCTTCATCCTACAAAAACCTGGCGTTCTCCTGAGTCCCTTTACACTTTATTCATACCAGAAATGCTGAATCATGACTCCGAGGTGGTAAAAGAAAAACTATTTCGACTGGGACGCTAGGATCCCCAGAGGATCCCACGCTTCTGCATTCCTTTGCTTTGCACCTTTTAAAGTCTAAATCGGGGCCCCTTCGGCAGACTGGAGAGGCTCCCGCAGCAGCCAAGGCTGCAGGTCGGGAGAGATCCCCTGCTGGTTCTTCCGCTCCTCCCCAAAACCCACGCAGCCCCCGCAGCTCACCGCTCCCGCCCCGTCTCCTCGGAACACTACCCCTAAGGGACTGTTACACTCCCCATCTGCAAAGCTGCACAACAGCCTCCGAGAAATTCCCAACTTGGAAGCATCACCACCACAGCCACCCGTCCGGAGCTCCTAGGGCCCACATTAGTCTCACTTGACCACTTGTCCGCCAGGGGTGGAGGGTGCCAAGGCAGCTCCTCCAGCCCCTCCTTCTAGCCCTGGTCCTAGAGAGGAGCCAGCCGAGAGCGCGGACTCTTGAGAAACTCAATCCTAACTCCCCAGCCCGCGCCTCCCGAACTACCCGGGATCCCAGAGAAGCCGGGCCGAGGTCTACCGAGCAGAGTGGCGTGGACAACCTGGAGATGAAAAAGGCATGGAGGAGAAGGGGCAGCGAGAAAAGAAATGACTCGAAAGCCAGTTCCCGCAACTTCTCCCAACCCTGTTTCGGGGGTGGGGGGTAATGAGAGAGAAACGGCAAAGGCTCCGAGAGCGAGGCGAGGGACTCACTTGAAGGTGAGGACGCAGAGCGGCCGGTAGGACTTGTGGCTGGTGTTCTCGGCCATGCCCTTGCCCCAGAAGTCGTTGGTGAAGATGCCCCAGCCGAGCGGGGCGCCGGGCCGCACGTCGGGGTTGTTCACGATCGCCCACACGTCGTCGTGCACAAACTCACCCTGCAG